TAGGAGCAAGAAGCTACTAGGGGCTCCTGGCATCGCTACTAGGAGCAAGGATGCTACTAGGGGCTCCTGGCATCGTGACTAGGAGCAAGGACGCTATTAGGGGCTCCTGGCCTTACTACTAGGAGGAAGAAGCTACTAGGGGCTCCTGGCATCGTTACTAGGAGCAAGGACGCTATTAGGGGCTCCTGGCACACTACTAGGAGCAAGAAGCAACTAGGGGCTTGTGGCATCACTACTAGGAGCAAGGATGCTACTAGGGGCTCCTGGCATCGTTACCAGGAGCAAGGACGCTATTAGGGGCTCCTGGCCTTACTACTAGGAGCAAGAAGCAACTAGGGGCTCCTGGCATCGCTACTCGGAGCAAGGATGCGACTAGGGTCGTTACTAAGAGAAAGGACGCTATTAGGGGCTCCTGGCCTTACTACTAGGAGGAAGAAGCTACTAGTAACAAAGGGCATCGCTACTAGGAGCAAGGATGCTACTAGGGGCTCCTGGCATCGTTAAATACTAGGAGCAAGGACGAATAGGGGCTCCTGGCCTTACTGCTAGGAGGAAGAAGCTACTAGGGGCTCTTATTCATAGATGGTCTGAGTCTCCTTTGAAAACCTTGTTCTTGTGTCGTGGATCGCTGAGGAGCGCTGCCGCTGTGGCACTTGGAGCTCTGGGGTTGTTGGGCCTGTTGGGTCATGCCTTCTGTGGCGCGGCTCAGCCAAGTATCCAAGAGATGCCCGACATGAATGGGTGCGTGACCATGAATGTCAGGTGGCTTGCTTAGCTGGCCTAGCTTTCGCTGAAGCTGCACCAGTCCAAGCAGAGATAGATAGAGAGGGAGAAATTATGTATATATAATATAACTTAGCTGGCAAGTGGGCGTGTACTGATACACGCGCACATTTTTTCATAGGATTTTCAGTGTCATAATCCACAGTGAAATGGAGGAGGGAACGGAAAGGCGCAAAGTCAGCTCACTTGAATGGTTGAAAACATTGTTTGCGCATGACTGTGAATGCACGGCAGCGGAAAGCATTGGAGGGAAACCTGTTTGAGGAGGTATCATGAAAACGACCATGGAAGCAAAACATAGCGCAGGAAAAGTGTAGTCATAGTCATATCATATCATCCGCAGGTACGTGAGTCAAGCGCCCTTGACTCATACCACAGGAAACGTGCAGCGTCTTCGTTGGTCGCTGACTGCACGAATCCCCAGCGACCCCCTGCGCGAACGAAATCGGAAGAAAAGTAACTCCTAGAAACGGAGGGTGGCGCACACACACACACACACACCCAGCCTCTTAGCCTCTTAGCGGCGCTCCCCGGCAACAGTTAGCAGCTCTTTTTTGTCTGCAAAAATCGTCGACAGTCGATGGCTGCATGCCCTTTGCACATGTAGAGGTTGATGAGGTGTTCAGCCGCGGCAGCAGCTGCTGTTGGGGGGTAGGTGTACTTGTTGCCAGCTGAAGGGCCAGCCGGTTGCTGCCAGCTGAAGTGGAGTCACGGATTTTCCAATAAGGCTGTGTTGGTTGGATGTAAGTGATCGTGCGAGTTGTCAGGCCAATGGTAAAACCAAGTAAGTGAAAGTCCTCAACGGTCTCGAGCTCGATGGGATCGCCGAAGAAATCTCGGTGAATGAGTGTTTGGATAGCGGGGTGGGAGAGAAAGTGTTCGTTGTGGGTGGTGAAACGGTTGTGTGGAGTTGTTGCCAAGCATGTTCGATGAGAGTGATGGCGACGTTGCAAAGAGCCGGTGACAGTTGGGAGCCAATCCCAGCGCCACGAATCTGCTTGTAGTGTGGTTACAGGCCCGGGAAATGCAGGTGTCAAGGGCAAAAGCCACGATAATGGGGAACATCCGTGACGTGCAGTGTGCGTTGGGTGGGATGTCTAAGATGGTGCCTGCCAATGTGGGCACCAGAGTTGTGGAATGGAGAGCTGTCCTGGGTGTTGTGGGTAGAGATGCTGTAGAATGATGTCGAGGGCGCGACGGGTGATGCGTAGCAGGTTGCCGGCCAGGGAGTGGTAGTAGGAAATGATGGTTTCTGCCATTGTTTCTTCTCTTTGAGGTGGACAATGCCATAGGGGATCCCCATTTGTAGCGTGTGCGTAGGCCGATGGATTGGGTTGCTGACCCGTGTGATATGGATTGGGTTGGTGTGGAAAAGGATGGTTTTCCGGGGCAGTGGGTGCCGGTACAGGGGGTTTGTGGTGATGGTGCTGGTGCCTGTGGTGAATATGGAGAAGGTGAGGGAAATTGCATCGGTGCGGTGGGAAGGCAACTCGCTGTTGTCTGGCTCAGCGGCAGGCGGCTGCAGCAGCGCTCCAAGGCAGCTCCGCGCGGATGGGTGAGACAAAATCGAACGGTCGAGGCAAAATGTGAAAGTGACGTTTGAGGTCATGAAAAGTCATGGCCTCCTTGCGCAACCTGGTGATCAAGAGTAGTTGAAAATTGGAAATTGCAAATCAAAATCGTGAAAGACAGCGGAAGTCAGTTCTTGAACCGTAAGCTCGGCAGCATGTGGAACCAAAGAAGTCAAACCAGAATCCACGATGGCGGCGCTTCGAGTCAGAAAAACGTTGGTCCGGAGTGGCTTCAGCGCCTCTTCCAAGAGGAGCACACTGTGTACCCGGTGGGAAGACACAGCGATACACACTTAGACATAGGGTTTTCAGTGTCAGGGAACGGAAAAGCGCAAAGTCAGCTCACTTGAATGGTTGAAAACATTGTTTGTGCATGACTGCGGATGCACGGCACTGTTTGAGGAGGTATCAAGAAAAGGTAGGGCGACCTCATCTGGTCAAGCGCGAAAAACATACTGCACACATCAGGGCCCGGGCGAGATCACTTGATCTCGAGATCAAAAGCGACAGCCTTTATGGCCTACTAGTGCTGGCTCTTGTCGTCCGCTATGGGCTGTTGGCGTAAAAGCCTGCCCTGTCGAAGCCGTGTCTTCTGGTTTGGCATTGACATTTGTGCTGAGGCTCCTTCAGCCGCTACGGCCTGCTCTGTGCACCATGCGGTGGGAACTTCACCCCCACGGAGGGCACTACTTCGGGCACACTCTGGGCTCTTAATGGCTCTTAATGAATGAGGGGCACACTTGGGATCAAGTACGTTCGGAGGTTGCCCAATGCCAGCAGAAATCTAGGCCAAAAACTGCCCGAGTACAGCAGGTAACATGCAATGCGGTCCCACCACCCTTTACTGTATATAAAGGCACCACGTTTCCAAAAGTTTCAAAGACTTCCAATCGCATCAACAGATAATTCTGAACTCCAAAAAACAAAGCGTCACTGCAGTGAGGGAACTGCTGGGGCCCGCCCAGGAAAGCTGGAAAACATGTTCTACTAACGAACGGGGCCCAGGAGGAAGTGGAAAGTCAAAACGTAGCAGGTACACAGAGCAGCTGATCAGGCTCTGCTACCAGCACAAGTGGATAACGTCGTTGGGTGCAGTCTCCTGTGTGCTTTGCACCGCCCTGCGTTACACAAAAATCGAAAAGCAAACAGGCCCCATTGATTCCAAGGGTTACACACACACACGCACATATCTAGATATGCGGATTGGGTACACGCCCGAGAACATGGTTATTTTTTTCTGGGGCACGCAATCAAAAGTGGGATGACTCCAGACTGGATTTTGTGGCTCCGTCTGTCAGGTCCAGAAATTGGAATTGTGGCCGGCCAAACAGAGCATTGTGCCTTTGTCGAAGTTGGTGTGGAGGTTGGTCTTGAGTCTTGTTTTCACGCGCCTTGTTAGCTTTGACGCCCAGGATCAAGGCCAGGCGCATGAAGATGCCATCCATCAACAACCTGAAGGATCAGCAGCATGACAGCCCGCTGGTTTTTTGTTGTTCGTTGGTTCTTTGGAAGGCAAGTGTCGCACAAAGTAGGTGGCGAAGCGGTGCCAAAACTAATTGCACCGAGGTATTTCATCATCTACGTCCGCTCTCCCAAAGTCAAACAGTGGTGCCCAATGAATATTGTGTCTGGCTCGGAGGCAGGTTGGTCAACGGGAAGCCAACCAACTGTAGTGCCTGCATGGCCCCTCCCGGAATTAGATTTTTTCAGGGCCAATGGGGGGGGGCCACGATGAGGAAGCAAAGAGTACATACAGTACACAGAATCGAAACTCTGTAGCCTACATGCAGTGTCTCGTTGATGCAGCTTGTTTGACGGATTTGGCAGGCACTGAAGACCTTGAAGGGTGCAACAGACAACCAGGTTGCCAAGACCCTTGGTGCTGACAAGTTTGCAGAGGGTCAGATCGTCAAAGCTGTCGGCATGACACTTGGTCTGCACAATGAAGCATTGAGAAGTGACACCAGACTTTGCTGGCTTTTTCGCTTTGCCTGAGGAACTTGTACAAACAGAGGGATGAGATCACAGAGCAGGCTAAAGAGATGCATAAAGGCTTGAAGTATTGCAACGAGGTGGAATTTGGCTACAAGGAGCGGATTTGAGCGGGTGCGACGATGACCTGTGGTCTGAAGAGATGAAATCGATGCATACCGATACCACACCAACATTCATTTCTCTTTTTTGTAGACAGGAAGTCAAGAACAACACCTACTTCAATGACAATCCAGGCCATCGCCTTAAGAACTTGACAGGGCGATGATCAATATTTCTTAGTGTGCCATGCCGCAGCGTGTCAGGTGAGTTTATGGACATGAATGGCATCACGGTCATTCCGCCAGAGGCCGAAAGTAAGGGGCCGAACATTTTACCTTTGAAAAGGGGGGCCTTGGCATCCCGGCTGGGCCAGGGCAGCTGGGCCAGGGCGGCTGGGCCGACCGGCTGGGCCGAGTTGGGCCGAGTTGGGCTGCAATGGGCCGTTGACAGGCAGAGCTGAGGAACCTTCTGGATGACGCCGGAGAGACCATTGGAGAGGTTTCGAAAGAGGCGAGACCATCGGAATTTGCGACGACGCTGGGATGAGCTGGGCAATTCTCAGCTCCAGGTCTCCAAGGTGGGAGACAACATCAAAGGCTTCTTTGGTTCGCGCTGAGGCCAAGTGCATACTAGTGCAAAGCCAATTAAATTCGAAGCACGGTCATCAGACTAGTCAGTGGAACAGCTCACAGTTGAACCTAGCTAACTACAACAGTTTGGCAGGCATACCTGGCGCTCTTCCACCAGCCTGAATGAGCATCCGTGCCTTCTCAGTGAATCTTCACACCTAGCTGCTTCACTAGATGCTCCACCTGCCTTCTTGACAAAAGACAGTATGCAGTATGCTTCTCAATTTGGTCACTTGCTTGCACAAGAGACACTTCTATAAACTTCCTATATAATTGATGGAGTTGGCTAATGTCAGGCATGATTATGATCACCTAGTAACAAAAGACTACTTGCAGACCATGACGCAGTTGATTGGCCTCAGTCTCACAGTCTCTCGCACCCATTTACAGAGAGATACAAAAAAGTCGTGGACCTTACTGATCACTTGCGATTGATCGCCGGTCTGATTTGCCATGTTCTGAAGTGCAAGATCTCACTTCTCACAGAAAGGTTTGGCTGAATATATCATACACCATATATTCTGTTCATGTTTCGTGGGAATGGTAGGTGGTGGGGGTAGCGTAAGCCCACAAATGCTTGCACACTCTTGCAGTTGCGCCCATTGCTCGTCACAATTGGAGCGTTCGTAAGGCCCTCCCGAGAAGGACAAGGATAAAGAGAAGGAGGAGGTCCTTTCGTTGATGCTTTTGTAGCTAAATCTTGGCCTACTGCCCCAATGAATACAAGAACCCAGTTCTGTTTGAATGTGTGGTTCCAAGCAGCTGACACTGCTGAGAGACTTCCAAAGGCCTTTGCTGCCCTACCTCCACCCACACCCGCACCTGCCCCTGGTGCCTTCACTGGGGTTGCTACTGTCGGCGTCCCAGCAATAGCAATAACCGACAATGCAACGCCTCAAACTCGGACTCTGTGGCTGCACTTATAACTTATAACGAAACGTTCAAAGCACAGCCACAGCCTTGGCGGATGTTCATATTATAGCTGGGATGTGCTGGGGCACATGTTTGTTGAAAGAGGCCAGCCATTCGACATAGGAGTGACATTTTCCGGAGTTCTGGTACTCATGTGGAACAGTTGGGAACGGGTGTGTGTGCTTTAAAGGTCTTTTTTTGTCCATCAGACGGGAGAACCTTCTTGTAGAGAGCTTCGGGCAAGGCCGGAGTGCCACCAACACCAGCTTTGACAGGCAAGCCTCGGATCTGGCCGTTTGCACTCTTTGGTCGACTTAGCCGCGCAACTGGTGATGGCAGGTCTCCCCTCAGTGCCCATCTCGGCCACTGCCTTGAGCCTTGCAGCCTTGGAGGCTAAGAAAGCGCTTAAACATGCAGACTCCTAGACTATCCTAAACTCTTGATGATGGCAGGGCATAACGTCAGTCGATCCCATCAAGACCGAGGCAGGGCAAAGCTGCATTGGACAGTTTGTTGGGCATTATATTTTTTTTTCGGTCCCTTGGGCCGTCTCAAGACTCTCCGACGAAAGGGCTGGTGCTTATTAACTTGGAGAGGCCAAGGTGTTGGACCCGGAGGCAGAAAAGAAGCCATCCACCCAGCTGCGTTGGCGCTGAGCAATGAGCATTTTTGATTGACGGGAGGGTGTAAATGTTCTTTTGGTGCCTCCGCTCATGGATGGGAAAGCTAGACTAGGCGACATAAGCAAATAGCTGGTGACCTTTTGATAGATTTGATAGTCTGTTAACTTTCTCACTGGGGTGAAGCATGACGGCCTCGATTGATGATTGATGCGGTTGTTCAGTCGCCCAAGACTGCCACAGGAGAATCCTTATGACCGACTGCATTTTTTACCATCCCTCACCCATGAGACCCGACCTAGGCGCAAGGAGGAGCTGAAAGCTGCACGTGAAAAGCGGGCAAAGGAGCTCAAGCGCGGACCAGGGGTTGGCGACCAAGTTGCGACTCATGACATGCGATGCGATAAGGCCTCAGTAGGGAGTTGGATGTTGTGGGTTTGGCTTTTCTGTTTATATCAGAGCCAGTCAGGTAGCTGCTCTTGTGCAGGGCGTGCCGACCCTAGAGGCAAGGGGAAGAGGATTTGCTGGAGTGCAATGGGCCATGAGGCTCTGAAAAGAGCGCAGGAAGCCCCTTCCGTGGATGGCTCAGAGATTCAGCTTTGTTTCCTTGGAGGGCCCACCAAGAAATCGTGCAAGAGGATGCGGGGAATGTCTCACTTTCCAGATGGGCAAGAAAGACGAGCTGGTTGAGAAAGCTCAGCGGCAGCGCGAGGAGGCAGAAGCAGCTGCGCGCAAGGTGCCTGTAATGTGTGAGATTAATGCAACGGATGCAGAGCTGTGACACACCCTCAGCAGGAACAAGAACGGCTGGAGCACGAAAGAGAGAAGCTTGGCAGAATCAGATTTATTATATATATATATATAGGTAGATGGATAATGATAGATAATGATAGATGATGGATGGATGGAGGGATGGATGGATGGAGGGATGGAGGGATGGAGGGATGGAGGGACGGACGGAGGGAGGGAGGGAGGGATGGATAGATGGAATGGGTATACATAAGCACATTTTTTCCAACTTAGACGGGCTAGAGCAATGTACTCGAGAGCTTTTGCTTGGCCTTGAGCGACATGAGCTGCGTGATGCCAAGGCAGGAGCGGATGGAGGCCTTGCGGAGGAAGCAGGAGGAGCAAAAGAAGGCCACAATGTGCACAGGAGAACACACTCATGTGCATAGAGAAGTAGAAGGTAAAGTACTGTCAATGGACAACTTCGCTGTCCAGGCAGAAGAGGAGAAAAAGAAACGCATGGAAGAAATGGAGGATGGCTTCGCATGGTTTCGCATGAGTTTGCGTGGCAAGAAAAATAGGTAGGCTGTTTATCAGATCCTTGGCCGTCCCGTATACCAAACATGTATATCATACATCTACAGTATATATAAATGAGGGAGCCAGGGAGAGGGAGAGAGAGAGAGAGAGATAGGCAAGTTCGAGCCCGACGATAATCGATGTGAATCCATGAAACACTTCCACACATGCAGGCTCGTGAGCGGGAGCGAGCAGACCGAGAGGCTTTGGAGAGGCCCAGGACATAACGATCAACGTTCTGGGGATAGAGGTCCGTGGAATTTCACCCGTGTTGTAATAGAGGCGAAGACAAGCTGAGCAAGCTGACGAGGACCGCCTCGATGTATCATTATCTCCGCTGAGAAGTGACCGGAAGTTAGTCAGATGACTTGTAACTAGTGTAACTAGTGAGTAGTGGGCTGCTGTCAGTGTCTAGGAAATGAAAAAGAAAGAAGCGGAGACCCGGGACCAGCGTGTCAAGGCCACACGTTTGCGGGCGTTTAGCTGCTTAGCTTGCCAAACCAACAAGCATCGGAGGCCAGCATGGAGGCTGCGAAGAAGCAGCAGGTGCGACGTGTGTGGCTGAAGCCAGCTAGCTGTTTGTGTAACAAGGCAACATAGACATAGAACTTCTAATTGCATGATGCCACGAAGTTCGATGACGTGTCCAGTGAGGTTTAGAGTTTTTTTTGGGGGTCCTTGTGTCATTGGCTCACTGTTTCTTGCTTTAGATGTTTTGGTCGATGCAGAGAGGAACATAAGCCAGCACCGTCTAGGCAGAGCGGGCTGCCGCCAAGGCTGCTAAAGAGGTGGCATGGATCATCGGACTTCGCTTGCGAGCATTTTCCTTGCATGTTGTGTTTGCCTTAACTCGAGCGCTGCACCTGGCTTGGTTGGTGACTTGGCAGGCTGAGACGCTTTATGCTGACATGCCTCAGCTGCGGCCCCAATTGTAGTTTTGCAAAGCTATTTAGGCTTTGGGATAACTTCAGTGAGCCTTGAGAGTTTGCATGTTATTCTCAGTTGTTTGCATCCATGTAAAGCCGTGCTGCTTCGATGGCAATCATTATTTGTGAAAGAGGCCTGATGCGGACACGGCAGCAGCCACGGAGGTGCAACTCAGTTTTGGGGGTAGCCTCTGAAAACCGTGAAGTGCACTGTATCCTACGACTGTCCAATCCATGCCTGAGCACAAAAAGAGTCAGAAAGCGCTGAGTGCTTTTTCGAGGCAGCCTTGAAGGCAGCTGGGGAGAGAGGACCCCAGATAGACCTGGCGCTCCCACCGGAGGCGCGGCCGATTGGCTTTTGATCACCCAACCACTTTTGGGTGCACGATTCCTGCAACTGTTGGATTTCTTCGACCTTATTTTTTTAAGTCTTCATTGAGCCTGAACATTTGTGAACTACTCCTCAGACTACGGCGGTCCTTTGTCAAATTGATTTTCTTCACTTGGAAGGAGCGAGGCAAGGTTGTCTTCCTGGATGTGGACGGTGTGCTCCGGCCAGCCCGGGCAGGCAAAAACATGGCATGATTTGGGTCTGCAGCTTGAACCAAGAGCCACCGTCTGAGGAACCTTTGACATTTCCACAGATGGTGATGCAGATGGTGCCTCAGACCCCCACCCTCACAACGATGTTGTTTGGCATAATTTCCATCACAGTTCACTGGAGTAGTATTCCAAGGCCAAGCCTGACACGTCTGACTTCTTCCCAGCAGCCTTGAAGGCTAAGATATTATAGCCTGCATAAACCGTCCTTCATTTTGGTGCAGCCTTGTGGTGCGTTTCGGAGAATTTCAGGCTCTTCGGTATATCATGGTACTGCTCTTAGAGTCTTAGACATTTTCAGACCACTTTGCACAAGTATTCTGCAACCACATGTGCTTCACAGGAGCGGAGCAGCCCACGCATCGTCCTATGCTCAGAGTGGCGCCGTAGTGAGGCACCCGGGGGAGATTGTGGAGTTGTTCGATTCCTTTTGATTCTAATAGTCACACCGATAGGCAGCCAGGTTGTTGTTTTGGGGGGTTGCATGTTGTGCATTTGCGATGCCAGACGCTCCTGAAAGCCTTGGAGGAAATTTTCTACAAGAACAGGTGGGTCAGCAGGTTTTCGCACCTACTTCACTGCGCAAACATGGCACTAGCTGCCCACATGCATGACAGCCAGAAGTCCAGGTTTGGAATTGGAGCGCTTGAATCATGATGAATCATGTGGTTTATATATACATATATAGTTATAATGGTTCTTCAATACAAGAAATTGCTGCTGGAAGTGAGCATGCTGGGAAGTCTGTGGCAAACCTCCTTTTCATGGACACCTTTCAGAGGCTCCGCTTGTGGAGTGACGTCACGTCGATAGACTTCAAGCTAGAGAAGGGCTGGGGCCATAGGCAGCTCCAGGAGGTTTCAAGTGCTTTGGATTGTAAAGCATCATTGAGCATCATACCTAACATGCAATTTAATGGATGTTCATGTGATTCATATAGTTTCGAGACGCTAACTTTTCTCTCTCACCTCACTAGATCCCCCAGTAGATCACTTTGCACGAACTTTTACCTTTCGAATCTGAGTTGACTGGACACCGACACCGCTGGCATGAGACATCATGGGTGACTGAGGCTCCGATGCCTTGCGTTGCTTTGCGGAGCGCCGTGCCAAGGAGATCAGCGAGTGGCTTCGCCAGCATGAGGCAGGGTTTAGTGAGCTCCAACTGCCACGCCAAAGCTGGCCGTACCAAGCTGAAACACGAAATAGTTTCGACTTGCTTGTATTGGTGTGTCATTCACGTCCTGTGTCGTGCGTTGGCGTCCACTTTTGTTGGCACTGGTATCCCAGGGTGAGATCAGTGGCTGGGCCGTTCTTGACGATATCAATCTGTCCATGACAGATGAGGCAAGCAGAAACGCCAGTAAGGAGCTGCCGGAGTTAAACCTGGCGGCCAAAAGACACATGTCAGGCCAAGAGGGCTGGCAAACCGATGGGACCGCACCATGCTGGGCACCTGGGCATCTACTCATCCCAAGCGTTCAAGACACACTAGACTCTGAGACTCTACACATCACTTTCTATAGACGATAGCATATACTATATACAGAATATTTCTGCTGTCAGTCTTGAGTCGAGTGGTTCGGCTCTCAGCTGCATTCAGCCGAATCACATGAAATGACAACATCATGATATTGCCAATATGGAACGCCAGAGCGGCACAACAAGGTGACTCAAAACAGACTCAAATCGGGCCGGAAAGTCTTTTGATGTGAATTTTGAGGTTCCAAGAGTGAAAATGGACGTGTTGACCAGACACTCGCGGACTACATGGCCTTTTTCCAACTGAATGTTTGCCTGCAGCGCCACCTGCGTGTGTCCCAATGGCCGTCATTTTTGATGGAAAAGCTTCCGACCGTTCCCTTCCAAAGAGCCGATGGATTCTTTCAGCACCGGGAAGCTGGAAGCAGACCGCGAGACGTTTATTCATCGCAGCTGGACACTTGAACGCCAATTTGCAGCAGCAAACTGTCAAGGTATGCGGCCTAGAGAAGTTCCTGGCGAATCTTAGAATGGACATCAGCCTTGTGGAGAGGCAGATTGAGATCTTGCAGTGCGATCGCAGAGCTCTGCTACTCGCCCTGCAGGAGGGCGAGGAGCACTTCCTTTTGGAGGAGGAGCTGACACTCTCTCGCATTGTGTCACGCAGGAGCACCTCGGGTTCTTGCTTCCTTCGAAGCATAAGCTAGCATTTGTGTGTCCAGACTGTCATAGAATGTCATAGATGTTTAAGGACAACCTGGAGTGGTTTGCCCACACTAGTTCCCTGTGTCGGTGAGTGTGTTTGATTGAAGGTTGATTGCTTTTCTTTTGCAAGTCAAGTGCGGATCAGTTGCAGGCTCAGGCAGCTTGACACTTTGAGAGATCGGATCCTTGAACAGCAGCGGAACGCGCAGCATGCCGGACTGTCCGTTTTGTCAGCACGTCTCTTGGCTTGCAGAGTGAAAACATGTGCGTAAGCCCTACTGGAAAGAGGCGGCTTGAATACACATGCCGTGTTGCCGAAGGCAGCTTTACCACGGCTCAACAGCTTCATCTAGCATGTTTGTGGACTTGCCTGGGCCAAGGACAGCGGGAGATGGCCGCCCTTCACAGGAAACAGGTGGCCAAAGCAGAGGCGGATAGACATGAAGATGAATACCACGAAGAGCTTCTGGAACCTTGGCGTGCCAATTCCAAATCAAACGTGGTCCATGCAGGAATCAGAGAATAGTGAACAGGATTTGACAGTTTTGTTGACATGTTTTACTTTTTTGCATGAAGCTGGGCTGGGGTGTGGGTTGAGCTGGCCAGTGATGATTGTTGTGGGTTGTGCATTGAAGGAGAGCTCTTGTGCCCTTCAGCTAGCCTATCTTGACTTTGTCCACTCAGAGGCGCTACAAAGTGTGAGACCTTCGTATCCCTAAAGTGCCCTAAAGTCCAAACAATAAAGAGCGAAGCATATAGCATGCTTTGTCAAGCGCGTACAGGTTGCGCAAGTCAAACAAACCCCAGAAAGAAAGATAGAAAGGACTGCCCAAAGATTGTCCACAATGTTATTCTCATGCATTTTGAGGCCGCGCGGTGCCGGAAATTCATCACTGGGATGATGATGTGGTCGATAGCCACACTGGTGGTGGTTGACATGGCTTTCAGAATGATGGATTTTCCTCAGTTGTCCTAATGGCTCCACACGACATCGTGCTTTGAACATCCAATTTGTTTGTGAGTCCTGGGCGCGTGAGGGAGCAGTACCTGGACTCTGCTTGCATGAGAAAAGATGTGCATGGCTATGCTGAGTCGGGTCAGTCAAAGATAAAGACTTGCTACGCCAGCCAGCCTGCTTTAGTTGAACGCAAGGGTGAGAAGACCTACTTCCAAGGTCCAGACATGGCCACTTTGTGGCCTGACTACTGGGAATGTCACGGCCACAGATTGCTTTGGGGCGGGTGACTTGAGAATGGGAGGGGCACCAAGAGTCAGTCACGGTGTGATGGGCTTCCAACCTATACAATAGCAATGGTCTCCCTCTAATAGCGATGGCCTCCAACCTGGAAGCAATAGCCTCCCCTCTAATGGCCTCCACACCTGGCACGGTCGTCTGCAATTTTATTGGCTCAGCCAGCACATTGAAAGAGATTCCCAGCAATGGCCACCAGGAGTTCAGTTCTTCCTTGTCGGAGGGGGCGGCAAGATCTGACGTCACACCTCATTGCCCGGAGGACTACCTGCGAGGTAGCTTTGCGGTCTGAGCCAAACCCTTTTCATTGGGAGGAAATCGAAAACGAGCCAAAGGCTGGGGAATTGGCCGACATGGCAGGGAAGTTTGTGTGCCGTTGACATCCATTATCATCCATGACATGTTTGACTTGAGCTGCTCTTCCTTCTCATTACTGTAGGTGCAGAGGAATTGTGTCTCGCTTGCAAGTCTGATGCAATGCATACCAAAGCATGTTGAAAGTCCAATGCAGCCAACTTGTGATATCATATGATATCATTCACCTTCCATCGCTTTCCTGTACGTGCTGCGGTTCTGGCTTGGCCTATGAGCAGAAGCCGACCGTTAAATCCGGGGATCGATTTTTTGTCCTTTTTGGAATATGTTGGACATCATAGAGGAAGAACCATGTTCAACGCTGCTGGCCTCTGCATTTCCTTTGCCCAGGCATTGACAGAAGCTTCCGATCAACCGAGCCCTCTGGCAATATTTTGGCACTTCTTGAGATTTTTAGCACATTTCTCAGGTTGTTGATGTTTTTGTCTTCCGTTTGTACTGAAGAATCAGCACTTCGCTTTTGCCCGTGAATCGTGCAGGTTGCGGTTTGTTAGATATTCATGTCCCACATGATTAGACTATATTATATAAAAGTATTATGTAATTAGTTTATGTGAGCCAACTGCTTGCTTCAAGGTATGAAATCTTGCATACTGGAGGATTTGTCAGACTTTGCACAGACCGCGGACGGGTGTATTGGTTGCGCGGTTTCAATTTATGTCTAGACTTGAGGATACTACAAGATGTAAATGATACAACCACTGTACATACGGTGTAAATGGCCACTAGGATATATATATATATATATATGATTATATGTTATGTATATAATTGTACATTTACACGGGGGATTGTAGAATGCCGAGCACCCCCCCTGCGAATGTTGCCCAAGTCATGCATTCACATATCATATCTATATAATCACAGTAATTTTGGCTCCATTGACTTGGGGGCACTAAGCCGTTTGAAGTGAATATGATAGAGATGGGGCGACAGAGAGCGAGGGCGGGACGCGAGTGATGGAAAGAGTGCTTGCAGTGCCAGTTGTAGTGTCGGCAGCGAAGCATACGCGGATCATGTGCGACACGTTAGGCTCGCTCAGAATGAGCACGATCACCGCTTGCCGGACTGGAAGATTCACTTTTCTGTGGAGCTTTCAGACATACCCAGGCAAGTGACTTGTGATGAAATAGATTGAAATATATTAATGCGTATTTCTGGCATCCTCATGTTCTCCTGAAAGTCTCAACGCGTCGCGGCCATGTGCGTGAATGGCAGGGCTTGGGATACGCTGACAGAGCTCTTCCTAAAAGAGGCCAGTGCTGTGAAGCGTCACTCGTGCAACTCGGGTGAGAAGAGACCTCAAAAGCGGAGGCCTGCGACTTTGGGATGAAGGCCGTAGCAGGTGAAGCCTTTGAGTCTTGGCCTCCAGAACAACGAGGCCGTGAAATTACAGTCCCTTGCTTCAAACAGACATCGCCAGACGCTCGATGTGATTGGACATGTGGGTCAAGAAAAGAGCAATAAGCAAGAGGTCTACATTTTTCAGAATCATGCAGCATACAATGGCGGTGGTCCGATGATGGGATACTGCCCAGGTGCAAGCCTGAGTTTGTGCCAGCTTCATGTCACACCAAAGGCGAGAAACATCAGCATAGCTGGCATACCTGCAAGGAAATGAGCACAATTTCTGGCTTGGACCAGAATTTGAACGCGCACCAGACTTTTGGTCTCACTTTGTTGAGGAGGCTGATCCTTGGCATGACACCACACATCGAATTCTTGAAGCAACTGCCACGGTCTTCCACGTGATCCTTTGTTCACACCAACCGTTCTCCACCAAGGAGCAGCGCTTGTCAGCTGCCAATATTCGAAGCCGCGGCCTCGCGCATGGTGACCTAAAGCTGGGCCACTATGCCTCTTTGCGCAACGAGGACTAGGGTTCAGTATTGGCAAGACCCGTTAGTTGCCGGTAGTATTATCTTTTTCTCGGATTTGCAATTTTCTTAAACAGAAAGAGACACTTCGGAGGTCAATTTTGAGTCTTTTCTGTTATGCGGATATGCGAGACAGCTTGCAGCTATCAAGTGCAGGCCTTTATTTTCGAGGCTGCTTCTGGTCTGTACATATACCCTCCCAATACAAGCGGCTGGCGCCTTGCCTCATCTTGCTTTATGTTGACAACTGGCTCCTTCCTGACAAGCACTCGAAGAGCTGTACAAGCATCATTCACAGTTGTGCCGCTGAGCTGTGTTGTCCAATTGTTTTTTGGGCCCCCCAAAAATCAAATTTTAATGATAGGTGAGTTGAAGACATAAATGCGGTAATATGTATTGTATAAGTAAGCAAGGTTCCCACAGGTTCAAAGATTGCTTGGCCACCGCTTGGTATTCTGTTGTTTCACTTGGAGATGGTACCTTATTGCGCTAGCAAAGCGCAGGGTTGCGCTAGGTTTGCGCTAGGTTTGGAGCTAGGTTCAAGTACTTATAGGTAGGATCAACAAACAACACATACATACATTTGGCTGCTGAAGAATACGCTCACACTTTCTGGCGCGCACACAGACGCACCCGCACAGGCCCAAGGGCGTGTTCCCATTGCGTTTTGGTTCTTCATGCGTGGAAGAACTATAGAATAACATTATATAACTATATCAAAGCTAGGAAAGCCGGCAGACCGCAAAGCGTGCTCTTGATCACAGCCGTTTGGTGGCCTGAGGTACTGGCAGGGGAACGCGCTAGATCCGCGCTAGACCACTTTGCAACTTTGACCACTTGTCCGACGACTTTCCAGGGCTGCTACTATTAGTACTGCTACTACTACTCAATACATTGGAGACATACACGAGAGAAAAAGATAGGACAATCACCAATCATATCTTGACAACTTGTTTCTGACCGTAGGAGGGCCGCGACTTTCAGCTTCACATTTGGAGCCGCTTGACTCTGTAAGTAAGAATGCGGCTATAAAAGGGTTGTGCGCAACATGCAACCATATACATGAGCACATGTTGTGTACATGACAGCCACCGCTTGGAATTTCTGTGATTTGAAGCTAGGACAATGATATTCTGGATTGATGAACTGTTAGCCATCACTTCTTACAAGCGTATGAATCTAGATTGAATCTAGTGGCAGTGATGGCAATACACACAACCCCGATGGCCTACTCGGATACAAAGCTCCCCCCTACCGAGTCGACACTGTTTCCTAGACGATGCGTGTTGTGCAATATTGGGTGTGATGAAAAGCACATTCAACATCCACTTAAGGATGTCAAGGAAGCAGAATTTGCAACTCCCGTGCCTCAAGTGCCAGTTTGAGGCCTTCATTGAACATTAGCCAACATACTGTTCACGGCTATCCTGATTTGTGCTGGTAACATTTTGTTGTGCAGAGTGCGTGATTGGTAACCTAGGCGCGCAGGTGAGTGAAAATGCATAAGTGAATGAAACCTTGGGTATGCCAGTGAGTGCCCAGCCGTTTCTGCCTTCCAAAAATGGGTTGTTGTTACAAAAAACCTTTTTGATCAAATCTTTTGGTCATAGTCTGTTCTTTGTCACTCCAACATCATGATTTTGCGCCATCCGTTTTCCAATGGGAACAAATTTTTAAATGTTGCCTTCACTGCTGATATTCATGTGAGCCAATTATAATGTTTTATGATCCTTACATTATGGACCATGTTGGGCATGTTGCAAGGGCGCGGCGCACTGACAAGTGCCGCCTTCATAGCACTGGAACCTGTTCAGAGTTAGTTGTGAATACCCCTAGAACGAACCCCGTGTTTAGCCAAAACAATTGCCGCGAAGCTTCCTTTGGTGCCATTCCATCCACGGTTGTACGGTCATGTTCGATGTCGCAATGCATCCACACACTAGACGGGGAAACATCCGGACACCTACTTGTAAAAAAGCACACCTCAGACCGTGCTGTTTTTGCAGACTGTAACGTAGTAATATCGTATTATACAAATGATTTACTTCATTAGATGCAGCGTTTTCATAACATGCAATGTACCTAAAAAAATCATTCGTGACAGTAATATCACAACTTATTTAAGGCAATAATGCATCACTTTATTGAAACCGACGTACATATAAGCTATATTGAATCAGGCAATACCTTATGGAAAAACATGTGCACCGCCTGATACGCAAGATGCCCTCGTCGAACCAGTCGCTCACTTGGGTTGGACATTGTTGCACTGTCCCTGATGCATCCCCGCCCTGCTTCCGGGGAGCCCGGCGAAGCCTTCCTTGCAACACCAGGTTGCCCTCCACAGCACGATAGGTTTGGGTGCTTGAGTGCCCATGCCATCCCACCTTTCGCAACAAGACATCCTGCATTTGCGGAGAGTCGTTGGAACCTACTGGAAACCGAGCCCTATTAGTGGACAGCTAAAAAGATGGCAGGCAAATCGCAGAGCTGTGAGCCAAGGAATGCTGTTGGACACCCGTGTCCAGTACACTTGCCATTGCAGGGACGCTTGGAAATGGCTTTCCGGAGAGGCGTGGGATCCGGAGAAGCTGTGCTTCTTGCTCCGTTCATAACGATGCCAGGAGCCCCTAGTAGCTTCTTGCTCCTAGTAGTAAGGCCAGGAGCCCCTAGTAGCGTAAGGCCAGGAGCCCCTAGTAGTGTCCTTGCTCCTATAGCAAGGCCAGGAGCCCCTAGTAGTGTCCCTGCTCCTAGTAGCAAGGCCAGGAGCCCCTAGTAGTAAGGCCAGAGCCCGCGTCCTTGCTCCTAGTACTAAGGCCAGGAGCCCCTAGCAACGTCCTGCTCCTAGTAGTAAGGCCAGGAGCCCCGCCCCTAGTAGTGTCCTTGCTCCTGGTAGCAAGGCTAGGAGCCCCTAGTAGCGTCCTTGCTCCTGGTAGTAAGGCCAGAGCCCCTAGTAGTGTCCTTGCTGCTAGTAGCAAAGCCAGGAGCCCCTAGTAGCGTCCTTGCTCCTAGTAGGCCAGAAGCCTTGCCTAGTAGTAAGGCCAGGAGCCCCTAGTAGCTTCTTGCTCCTAGTAGTATGGCCAGGAGCCCCTAGTAGCGTCCTTGCTCCTAGTAGCAAGGCCAGGAGCCCCTAGTAGCGTCCTTCCTCCTAGTAGCAAGGCCAGGAGCCCCTAGTAGCGTCCTTGCTCCTAGTAGTAAGGCCAGGAGCCCCTAGTAGCTTCTTGCCTAGTAGTACGGCCAGGAGCCCCTAGTAGCGTCCTTGCTCCCAGTAGGCCAGGAGCCTTGCCTAGTAGTAAGGCCAGGAGCCCCTAGTAGCTTCTTGCTCCTAGTAGTAAGGCCAGGAGCCCCTTGTAGCGTTCTTGCTCCTAGTAGCAAGGCCAGGAGCCCCTAGTAGCGTCCTTGCTCCTGGTAGTAAGGCCAGAGCCCCTAGTAGTGTCCTTGCTCCTAGTAGCAAGGCTAGGAGCCCCTAGCGTCCTTGCTCCTGGTAGTAAGGCCAGAGCCCCTAGTAGCGTCCTTGCTGCTGGTAGCAAGGCCAGGAGCCCCTAGTAGTGTCCTTGCTCCTAGTAGCAAGGCCAGTAGCGTCCTTGCTCCTAGTAGTAAGGCCAGGGAGCCTTGCTCCTAGTAGTACGGCCAGGAGCTTTAGTAGCTTCTTGCTCCACTGCTCCTAGTAGTATGGCTAGGAGCCCCTAGTAGCGTCCTTGTTCCTAGTAGTAAGGCCTTGCTCCTAGTAGTAAGGCCAGGAGCCCCTAGGAGCCCCTAGTAGTGTCCTTGCTCCTAGTAGCAAGGCCAGGAGCCCCTAGTAGCGTCCTTGCTCCTAGTAGTAAGGCCAGAGCCCGTAGTAGTGTCCTTGCTCCTAGTAGCAAGGCCAGGAGCCCCTAGTAGCGTCCTTGCTCCTAGCAGTAAGGCCAGGAGCCCCCAGGAGCTTCTTGCCTAGTAGTACGGCCAGGAGCCCCTAGTAGCGTCCTTGCTCCTAGTAGTAAGGCCAGGAGCCTTGCTCCTAGTAGTAAGGCCAGGCCCCTAGTAGCTTCTTGCTCCTAGTAGTAAGGCCAGGAGCCTTAGTAGGTCCTTGCTCCCAGTAGTAAGGCCAGGAGCCCCTAGTAATTAGCAGCTTCTTGACACCCCTTTCAATTTCCTCTAGGAAATCAGCCAACCCGGGTTGTCAAAAAGCAGGCCATTCTTTAGAGTTCACCATCCATTTTTTAGAGTTCACCATGCATTTTTTAGAGTGGCAACGGAGTGTGATTCTTTAAAGGTGCACTTTTTGCCACATGCATGGACTGGTTGTGTGCTGTTGTCATCATGGACTGGTACCAGGTGTTCTGATTCTTTAGGGGGGAGTCCGGGTGTCACAGCTTTGTGCGCACTGTGCTCAACGTGTTCTGATTTTTTAGGGCCAGTGCCCAGTATGTGTTGGCAGAGTCCTGATTCTTTAAGCTGACATGTTGGTATGGGCACTGTGGATTGAGGATTCTTTAAGGTGGCAGGTGGCAGGTGGCCTCCTAAAGAATCAGACAGTCCAAGAGGGAGGCCGAATTGCAAGGGGGATGCTTCTTGCTCCTAGTAGTGAGGCCAGGTAGCGTCCTTGCTCCTAATAGTACGGCCAGGAGCCCCTAGTAGCTTCTTGCTCTTAGTAGCGTCCTTCTCCTAGTAGTATGGCCAGGAGCCCCTAGTAGCGTCCTTGCTCCTAGTAGCAAGGCCAGGAGCCCTTGGTAGCGTCCTTGCTCCTAGTAGTAAGGCCAGGAGCCGCTAGTAGCTTTTTGCTCGCCTAGTAGTAAGGCCAAGAGGTTTTGGTAGCGTTTTGGTCTTAGTAGTAAGGTTAGGAGTTTTTAGATGTTTTTAGTAGCTTCTTGCTCCTAGTAGCAATGCAGTTTGTTACTTGCTTTCAAAGCTTGTGGGCTTACAGGCCACCGAAGACTGAGATGTGCACCATGCCGGCGAAGACGGTGACTCAAGCTCTGCCATGAGCAGAGACCAGCTGTATGGCTACAAGCTGAGTCGTGTCTGGTCCCTTTCAATGTGTCTTGGCTACCGCACTTGTCAGACATGCTGCAGACCGTGCTGGCAAGAGTGGGTTCAGTCACAAAACGGTGAGAATGGGTTGGTTGACAGGTCTTGACAAACGGTTGTGTGAGGGCTAGACTGTCAAGAGCGGGGAAGTTGTGACTGAACCCCATGGACCATGGTGGAGCCAGCGGAATCTTTGTACAGCCTTGCGAAAACAGCTCCCCGCCGAAAGTTGAACAACATAGCGAGATCATAAGAAATGAATGACTCACACGCTTGGGTGCGCGTCTTTGTCGAGTGTGCAAGCCTGCTGGTGGAGTTCAATTGCCTGCTGACACGCGTCCGACAATTTGACTAATTATGACTGACCGACAGCAGAGTGCAAGACAATAGTTCCATGCAAGTCCTCTCCAACAGTTTTTCTTATGTGACAGTCAATCGGTGTTGGACGTCAAAGTTATCAGTTATAAGGTAAGGCTTGATGATGTGTGCCTTACTTGGCGATTGGCGATTGGTGATGCAGTGGATGAAAAATACAAAGTGTCCACATGTGCCCACTGCGGCATGCGCCCAGAGGAGCTACAGTAGAGTCTAGAGTCCAGATTGCAGTTACTGTTCAGAAACTTCCTTTCTAAAGCTTGGCAGTTTTGCCTGAAGCCGGCATGGCGCCTCACAAGCCTTTGCTTGAGGATGAGGACCGGCAGGCAGACTTGCAGGTTTTGTTAAGAATTTCAGACGCGGCAGCGGTTGCGGATCTCATGTGCCACATGGAGAGGGAGAGAGTGAGCAGCACCGCACTCACACACTGCTTGACCCGCAGCAATTTGCAAAGTGCAAGGAGAAGTCATATTGCAATTTGACAGTTCCAGTTGAGGCTATTTGGATGGCAGCTTGGTTCAACAGCCGCACATTTGTGTTAGGCTGGCTGGCATGCAGTTCTTGAATGCCGTGTACAACTTTGTGCAAGGTATGCATCACGGTCTTCATTGACTCGTTGGGCGGTTCAATCTCTGCGCCTGTCATGCCCTTCTATGCCAGAGAGTTCAACGCATCCAGCAGCACAATAGGCAAGATTTGACAGATGTATACAGATGTAGGTATCAAGCAGCACCTCTGCAAAGTCAAAAAACGGAAGCTTGTGTCTCTCAAACATTGCGGTGCTCGGCGCTCTGGCAACATTAACTTGGTCCGAGAATATCGAGATTGTTCCAAACGAGCCAGGTGACAGCTACTGTAGGTGACAGTTCAGACGGTTCAGGGACAAGACCCTTGTTGGCCCAGACTGACCCTCCCGCGCAGATGTGCAACCATGTAGCATGGTATGACAGAATGGAAGATATGACCGGTTGGAGCAAACGCCACACGAAGTCGCACAGCGAGGCCTGCTGTTCAGTACCTATTCTTTGGCGCAAGTAATTGCTTTACCCTTGCTGGGGCGCTTGTCAGATCATATTGGCCGGCGGCCTGTGTGGCTTGGCTGACACGGTGTGGCCCGTGAGTATATCAGCGAGAACGAGCCGATATGGCAATCAGGGAATACAAGTCAGGATAGGTGAAATTTGCGGTCCTACACACGCGGGAGGAATGCAACGCATATAGCCAGTTAATTCCAGTTATGTATATGAAACATGTTAAACCGTTAAACATGATCCTGCTTCACTTGACTTACTTACCCACTAGTCACTAGCCAAAGCTGGTGTAAAGCCCCCCCCCAACATTGTTGAAACTTGACGCTGAGTCTTGAGGTTGGTGCTGTCCCTTTTTGGTGCAGCAGCTGGTGCCTTCCTACAAGGACACCTGTGGTACAATTCCCCGCGCATTGCATTCAAGGTGTTTGCAGCTTCATGACCCTATGAGGTGTTGAGCAGTAGAGAGGAGACATTGACTGAGGCATGTTTCTAGAAAGTTTCTTTTGGTTCTAGGCATGTTTACCATTCTACGCAAGGCGAAGAGCATGTCTGAACGGCTTCTTTCGAAGGCTTGGCGCCAAACCTTAGTGTTCTTTTCCTTGGCCGTGTCGTCAGCGGCTTTTGCGGCGCTATAGGCGCCTCGGGCAGAGGGAAGGGCAGTCCCAAAGAAGTCACGAAAGCTAGCACCAGCTAGCTGGAGTTGTCCTTGCTTTAGCAAGTGAGGGGCTGGAATCCTCGAGATCGCCGCATCACGTGAAAACTTCATATGTAGGGGGGGCCCCCCCCCTCCCCCCCGGTGGGTTCAACTCCCCCTGGGACACTGGCACCTCTTATGGCATCCACTTTGGTTTAACTCCTCCGGGATACGGTGCAACAGATTCAACAAGCCCACAGGTTCATGACATCGACATTGATAGAAGAAACCAAGTAAATAATGCAAGCAGCTTTGTTTTGCCTTTGGGACACCTCTTGGGCACCTCTTATGGCACCCACTTTGGTTCAACTCCTCCGTGGAGGTTTTGGGATACGGTGCAACAGATTCAACAAGCTCACAGGTTCGTAAACACATCGGATGCATCGAATAGTGTGGCAAAGTCCAGCCACGCTTCCTTAATTATCGGGGACTTCAATTCTAAGGTTGGCTGTGTCATTGCTGTTTGTGTGTCTTACATGTTCACAACTTTTTACCTCATGAGCATTTGCCTCAATCCGCTTGATGTCCCACCAGTCCGGATGCACACCTGCTAGCTTTCGTCACCTACCCTCGGCCTCAAGTAGAGAGAAGGACTTGCGTGGACTTGCAGTCTCATTTGTGGCCTCGTTGCCGAGAACAATTGCACCCAAATGCCAGGCAGCACGGCAAATGTCTACATTTGTGATGTTGCTTCCGAAGAGTGTCGCCCAGAGCCCGGTCGCCTGGTCATGCCTTTTTTGGGCTGGATGACTCGATGACTTTCTATCGCGAAAAACCAACACACCCAGCAGCAAACGCATGAGGATCTGAGAGGATCTTGAGGTTTTGCTTGAAACGTGTTGTTATTGGCTGTTGTGGTTGTGGTTGTGGTGGTGGTGGTGGTTGCTGGTTGTTGGTTGTTGGTGGTTGCTGGTTGTTGGTTGTTGTTGACCACTACCACTACCACTACCACTACCACTATGACGTCGACGACGACTACTACGACTACGACGACTACAACTACGACTACGACCACGACTACGACTACGACTACTACTACGACGACTGCCACTAGTACTAGTACCACTAGTTCTAGCACTGCACAAACGCTACCACTACTGGTATACTGTAAGTACTTGTTGGCTGGCTGTTTTTCGGGGGGGTGAAAAACAACGACGGCGCAACAGTTTCCACCCCCTTGTAGAGGCAAAGGAATAAAAAAAAAATATATTTGTAACGGGGCTGACTGCAGTTTTGTTTGTACCTTGTTGTTGTTGTTGTTGTTGTGCCGTTGTGCCCTCATTTTCTGTCACCAGGCTGCTAGAGCACAAGAAAGGACAGATGGACTGGTTATGACTGGTTGCTGTTTTTTTGCCTTGCAGGTACTTGGGATACCTTATGAGCAGCAACGGCTTGGCATTTGCATTCGGACCAGGACGGGTGTTTGCTGAGTTTGCTGATGGCCGGGGCCAGCACTGTTATGCACATGTGACTCAGAGGACTGGGCGGAGGACTCTCAAAGCTGGGTCGGAATGTGCCCATCATGGCCACTTGCCCTGCATGCTTTGGTTTCAACAGTGTGTCACAGCAAGCATGACTGGTGACACACAGCATCCTGACACTTGATAGACAGCATCCTGACATTTAGATCCATTTATATATCATCATTTATCACATTCACCTTGACATTGTCCAACCTTTGCCTAGCAGATGTGAATTGAGGTGAATGGTGCTTTGTGCATGACGGCTGGGATTCTGACTTTGGTGCTTTGGACGCAGCGATCTTGAGCCATGTGAATGTTAAGGCAATCAATGGCTTCCCCAAGTGTGGTGGCCGCTTTGCGGAGGGCCCAGTGCTCGGGAGCCCAATTTTAGTGCGATATGGCTCCGAGGTTTATCTTCCAGAGAGCCCTGCATGGGCCAACATCCAACGGACACATGCCAAAGTGGCGGCTGCCGAAGCGCAAGGATCTTGCAGAGTTTTCCAGCTCCTTTCGCAGCACTTCATGACTCTCATCCAGCTATACCATACTGTGGGCACGTGGCACAAGACTTGTCACGGACCTGTAAGCTATAAACCCGTGGAAGCAACCCACAAGCCAGCGTTCATGTTTGGGATTTACACCACGCAGCGTGCGAACTGAAAAAGAGGCATTGTACAGTGCAGGTGCCCCTCAAAGATTGCTGGACGAAGGCATCTCCCAATTCAAACCAAGAATTCGGTTTCAGTAGTCTTGGCCTTTTGAACTCCGATTCTGAGACATTTTCAGATCTCAGGACCTTCTCCCTCAGCGTGTGGTTCGTGTGTGCTGCAGAGTTCCTCCGTGGCATCTCCTTCTCTGCCATTTTTGCGATCTTTGCGTCCTTTTTCCGCAGTTGAGAGAACAATTCCAAGATGCGAGAACTTACATCGCCAATGGATGCCAATAGTCAAAGTCGGAAAGTTAAAGCTCTTCAGCCGAGGCTGTTTGCCAACACTGTCTTCGGGCTTGATTCTGTATCCATAGGCTTTGCAGTCTGCTCCGGGGCACTGCTGCTTAACGAAATCGTCAGCTTTTCCTTTCCAGAGTTCCACTGAGCAGAGTCGAAGTTCAAGCTGCAATGCAAAGAAGATTGCTTGAGGTGCTTGATTGGCACAAACATTTGGATATGCCCCTACTTGGACACTCATCTTGGCCACGTGGGGTGTGCTACACTTGGCATGGCATTGATAGCGTTTGGCGAGGTGGGCATGCACTCAGATTGAGCTGGTCTTGACAGGGCCGCGCCGGAGAACAATTCATTCCACGATTGAAAGGTGATCCTAGCCTACTCCCCCATCTTGAAGCTGGCCCTCTTCGGTATGTTGCTTCGCTGCAGCACGCTCGTGTGGTGGATGGCTGCACCGCAGCTGCCGCCACAGCCGCCAAGGGAAATTTCTGGAAAGGTGGTGGTGATGGAGCATATGCAACACATCGCCTTAGCCCCTGAACTTGGTAGCCCTTCATCCGAGGTGCGTCGTTTATGTTGGTCAAGCCGTCGCAGGATGTACCATTGCCACTTGGAGTCTGACAATTCAACGTTCCACTTGCTGATGCTAGATTTTTGTTACATGCCTGTTAGGCCACAATTACCTCGGTCTTGGCGACTGATGAGAATCGAGGATGTGTTACTCGACAAGGATGTGCCAAGGGTATTGCCAAGGGTCTAAGCTGTTGGAGCTGGGATGTTGCAGAGCCCAGAGCTGTTGGAGCTGCCGGAGCTGCAGGTGATGTCCATGCAGCAGATGGCACAGGCTTTAGGCCGAGTCTTTGGGCCGATGGTCCTCAGCAGCTTGTAGCTTGCTCAGTGGCCCAGAGTGGCCCTCATTGATTGCTCAGCAAGCCGAAGAGCACTTCGAAAGCAACGCCTGAGGTTTAGCATGGATCCCCACTACCCCTATGCATGTGCGGCGGCGGCAGCCATGATTGGGGGGCTCAGTTCTGATGAGCTTGCAGCCTGCCTTTAGAAACCTGGCGGGAAAGATGTCAGGCCAAGAATCAGTCTTGTCTTGACACAAATGGAACTGGACTTGTCGGCTCTTTCAGTAGTTTTTGGTGTCTCCCTTCTCTCCGCTTCTCTCCGGCTCTCCCAAGGAAAACGGGTCATTGCCACTTGGGTTGCAGCAAATGAAGTGAGAAGCCGCAGAGCCGCAGAGGTAAGATTTTTCAGCAAACGCATCACGCGCATCTCAGGAACCCGTTATCCCGATTCCTTCGCCTGCTCCTTGGGCCATGGAGGACTGCGTTCTTTTTGCCGCACTGGTGCCTTTTTGATCCTTCTCGGCACTTCTTCCTGAATTCCGCGATCTTGGTGCTTTCATGTCGACTGGAAGGATTTCACAGAGGATGATGTGGATGACTTGGGCCGCTTCCTGTGTCAGCTTCTGACCAGCAGACACTACAGGCGAGCTGTGCGATAGTTTCTGTGGCAGCGTGCTGCAACGTTTAGTGTCAATGGCGAGGTTTCGAGATCCCGACAAGCGGGCTGCCCTGAAGAAGAATTTGGCCTCTTCATGCAATTTCCGGAATATGAGCAGGCACTGCGCCCATGAGTAGTAGCTATTGGATGCGATTGGTCCCTTTTCCTTCCTGCGGGAAGGAATGAATTTTGTTTGCCCAAGATTTCGCATGCCTGAGCATGATTAACAGGTTATTTGTGTTATATGTTATATACGTTATTTTTGCATAACTATCGCTTGAGCCCGACAGAGCTCCTTGGTGTTGGTGATAATGCGTTGTGCAAGCCAAAGCCCAGTCTGAACAAAGCCGCATAGCCGCAGCAGCCCAAGTATACGGACGAATTTGGACCACCTCATTCAGCGTCAGTTCACATTCTACAAAGGACAGGTTCTTCAGCATCACAAGATAAGGAGCTGCTCTTTCCTCCCCTAATGAACGACGAGAACTTCTCTGCCGAGTCCAGAGAAGAAGGCGGCTCTGCAATACGCCTGAACCACGTAATTGTTGAGTTCAATGTTGGGTAGCCAGTGTCGCTGTTGCCAGGCCCGAAGAACTTTGGCAGCCTCAACGGGCAGTCAGATCCTTCAGCCTCAATTTCTGTTGGCCAATTTGTTGTGCGGCTTCTTGGCAGCATGCCCTCATAACAATTGGTGGTGTAGCAGCCGGTAAACAACTCCGCGTCGCACTAGGGGACAATCCGATCCCCTAGGATCTTGGCATTTTTTTTGGCAGACGGCAGATGTTTTAAGTCCGAGGAAAACTCCTGGTGGAGGGGGGCAATCGCCGACGTTTCGCCGGCCAACGACGAACGCAGACCATGCCGCATGTGGCCACACAGCATGCTTCATGAATGGGCGCTTTAGATGGAAATTGAAAGAGGAATGCCAGGAATGCAAGGAGTCAATGGAGAATAGCTAGTTTTTGATGTCAGATTTGCCTAGCGTGGGGGCAGGTGGACGACGTGTATCGAAGTGCATCCATGTCTGCAATAAATTGACAGCGCTTCTTGGCCAAATTCTTTGTGATCGTTGATGTGGTGCCAGCAGAATCATGTGGAATTGAACATATATATATATATATAATTGAATATGTATAAATAAATATAGATAAAACAAATATAAGTCAGCTCCATGTCCATACATACCATTTGCTGTTCCTTATGCAAGCTATCGAGGGAGTCAATACTGTTTACATTGTTTTACATCAGGCTCATTAACCGTGATGCTGTATAGAAGAGGTCAGCATAGGCCCACAATTATATATATATATACTTGTCTGTAGTCATCAGCTTCCTTTTGTCCATTCGTCTCCATGCCGCGGCTGTCCTGTCGCAAAAGAAGACCCAATCTCCTGTTTTCTCGTTCTTCTGGTTCAGCAATATTCAGACAACTCAGGAAGCAGAGAAACTCCTAAAACCCAAGAGGCAAAAGAAGCGTGCGGAATGTTCGTGTGTACTAAAACTCCGGTCAAAACCTTTTAACACAAACAATGAAGCCTCAGCTCGCTTTGTGTAAGGGGCTGTAGACAACAAGTGGGAATCGTCGAGCACATATTGTACACCTACAGTATTTGCATGTGGTGATTGGGTCAGAACCCTGGCATGAGCAAACTGCAGTCCTGCTTTGGAGTTTGACGTCCACAATCCCGCCCCGCCTTGAATAATGCCACTTGATTTTGATGAATTTGTGCGGACTGTTTCTTTGGAACAATACGCGCAGCCTGCTTGAGGATGTTCTAGGCCGCTGAGCCTTGCGGCTTGGCGCGCTGAGACGTCGACGAAGAAGATGAACCATGACATGCAGAATGTACGGTCATGGTTGTACAAAGATACTGTATGTGATATGTGTAGTTTGGCTTTGGTCAGATGACTTTGTGCTGGTGCAGTCCTGGCTTCTTCGCGTATCTTGAAGGCTTGCGGCTTGACCCCCCCTTTATATAATTAAAAAGAGTGGTTGTTCATGTGCATGGAGTGCACCAGATTGGAACTTTGTCCATCGATGTTCCCGCTGGATCATGGTCCAGATATGTCCAGATTGTTTTTGACAATCTTGTCGGACAGCAAGCCTTGTCAAAGGACATTCACTCATATGCAACGCATACGAGAAATGAGGTCACCGAGATCGATGGATAATATGGCAGAGCATGGCTATCATTCATGACTTGAGCTAATCATTGAGATAGGTGATCAGGCACAAATGCCAATGTAATGTATTTTTGCGGTCCAGATCGATTGCTTCTGAACGAGAAGCTGCTGCTATGCCATCCGTAGACAGTCCCTGGTTTGGATCTGGGATGGACGTTTGCAGTGTAGACTTAGGCCAAAACCGCAGTTCGAATACTCAATGGAGCTTTGATCAACAAGGTGAGGTGGAGAGGGGGCTTGCTGCCCTGTGGTGATTGACGTTTCGAAGGTGTGATTTGTTGAAGCAGAATCCAGACTGGCACCAGTATGCATATATCAAAGTAGACACCGGAGGTCACCCGAATTATACATGTATAATGTATATGCACATGCAACTGTCTAGTAGTATGCATGATGTAGTTCAGCTGTGTAATTGGCACGCCTGGAATCCAGTCTCACAGATTCATAGATCCGTAAAGGACTGGCGGCAAGGGAGAGTGGGAGATGTTTTGCGACGTTGCCGGGCAGGTGGTGGTTGAAAGGCCAGTGGCTGGGCAAGGCGAATTGCTTGGTGACCTTTCGGATTTGGCACACCTGTGTGTGTGTGTGGTGACAATCTTTGTATCACACTCTCCGTCTGACTCCCTTCCTCCTTCTCTCCTTCTCTCACGCTTTTTTTCATTGTTTCCGTCTGAAACGAGCAGATCCCGATGAGACAGAAAGAACGCCAAATCCAACAGCTTCCGGCTCGAGCCGCCGACCGAGCAACGAAGACGGGGGGATCCACCATGGCTGCCTGGCCGCACAGGTCTTCCAAAGCTGTGAGGGACATGCAGACCAGCTTTCTACATTTGTAAGGAATATGGATCTGTCGAGGGGAAGCAGAGCAGCTTTACACCTGGGAAACGCAACTTGGATGCAAGAGAAAGAAACATATGCAGGGTGTAGGTAGATATGCCATATATATATAAATATTTATTTGCATTTCTTCAGGCTTGGAGGCAATTGATGGGAATCATTGCAAATGGTTGACGACAAGGTATATATATATAAAATAATATAGAACAAATATCAGGAGAGAGTGGCCACTGGCATGAGACAACACAGTACGCTCAGTACACTCAGAGCATCCTTCAGTGATGACAGAGGTAAGCGACTGAACGTGGTTGCTATTCTGGTGAGCTTGCTGACTCCCTGCGCAGTGTTTTGCGGACACTTGGCCAAGTTATTTGCGCATTCCTTGTACTTCTCACAACTCCAAGGCGCTGGATTTGTTCTTGTTGGATACTTAGATCTAGCAAAGCTGGGCTCAGGTGTGTTTGTAGCTTTGCACCTTAGCGGCATTTGGCACCTTTTGCCGGGGATGAAGCGGAAATATGCGGAAACAATTGACACTAGAACAAAGAACCAAACACCAAGGCAAAGGTCAGATTTGCAGCGTCCGCAGAACTTTTTGGCCTGGTTTATTTGAAACCATTATCACCTAAGCAAGCTCCGAAGGAGTTTGCTGAAGTTCTCCTGCACATGGGAGGGTAAAGGGATCAAAGTAACTATACTGTATATACATATGTTTTTAACCTACAGATGTATACACGCACGAGAGTACACTCACACATACAGATATATATACATATAACCAACATATTCAAAAATGAATATTTGGCAATCTTAGACTAAAACAAGTAAGCAAAAACAAACACAAGAAAACCCACGCAACCAAGAAATGGAATGAAACCAAACTTCCCGAACTTTTTTGGGGGTCAGACACTGCCAGCACATAGGAGTTTTTAGCATGTTTATATAGATATATTTTTTTAACGGTCCTCTAAAACAGCAGGTTTGTAGCAATAAACCTTTTGAATCCTAAGGATCTCCGTTTACATTCTTTTTGATTCTAATTGATTTTCATTAAATTTCTTGTGATTCCTCTTGATTTCCTTTTAACGTTTTTTTTTATCAGCCTGGGTTAGCCCAGTACACTAGAAATGTTGAACAATATTACTTAACCCCCTACAATTAGTGCTTGCCCTGCTTAATAGCATCCCTTCAATCATCCATTACATCCTATCAAATTGTCACAATACTATTCGACAAAGGGGTTAGCGCAGTACACTAGAATCGTGAATAAAACATCGCCTACATTAATGTTTTTCACTTTTTGCTTTAATGACAACGCCCCCCCGGATTGATGTCTACGCTTTTTCATTTTTCAATGGTATTACCCTCTCAGATATTTTCTCCACTTTCCTCTGGTATGACAATTGAAAAGATCATATCCCCTGCAATGATGTCTATGTTTTTTATTTTTCATTATATACTTGTATTTGTGAATTCAACCTCTTTTTGAAACCTCCTTGTGCTTTTGATTACCTATTGAATTCCTTTTGGTTCTTGTTAATTCCCTTTGAAATCGTTCGATCATTACACTAGCAATCTTAAAACATATAACTTGACCCCCTACAACAACAATGTGTTCACCGTTTGCCTTAAATTAAGATATCCCCTGCAATCACGTCTATGCTTTTGTTACTTCTTTAATGTGTGAATTACATTTTTAAACATTCATTGTTTTTATTGATTACCTATTGATCTTTTGATTTTATTGTTGATATCCTTTTAACGCCTTTTGTTTTCTTTTGACTACCCTTTAAGCTCTTTAGTTGGTTTCTTTTTAGCTCCCTTCTTGCATCTTGTCAACGTATTATATTGCAAACTCTATTCCACCCAGGGGGTAGCCCAGTACAGAAAAGCAGCTGACAAGCAGGAAAAGGTAGAAGATCTGAGAAGTACGAAAAGCAGGAAAGGATAGAAGAGTGACAAGGAAGCAGGAAAGCCGAATAGCTGAGAAGAGCAGAAGAGCTTAAACATAGAAAAAGTTAATATGTAGAAGAGATGAAGAGCCGGAAAAGGTAGATCATGGGGGGTTGAGAATATATATACTGTATATGCATTTATTGTATAGATGCACATCGGCATATAAATGTATGACTATATATGTATCCCCCCCAACCCTGTCATAGTTTTGTGCTTGCCGTGTTTTATGTATTTGGAATACATTGGGCGGGTGCCAAATCAAGAGGTGATGCTGTTGTTGTGCATTCCTGTTGCGCAACATGTTTGCAAACGACCCCAATATCTAAGTAGATTGATGAATTCAATAGTGTAAGGTTACAAGAATTCAAGATTCTGGAAGACTTCTTGGATTCCAGTGCCAGGTCCTGGATGCTGGAATCCAAGAAGTCTCCCAGAATCTTGAATTCAGCTCCTTGGACTTTGTTGCATTTGTTTGAGGCTTCACATTGATGCCCAAGCAGATACAAAAATAAGCAGATAACACGTACCAAGAAAATTGCAGCAACATGCAGCAACATTTTGCGCCCCACCAGCAGTCAGTCTTCGCTAGTACGCTCTCTTGAGAAAAAATTCTAAGAACAAAGCTCCCCAGTAGCTTCCCACTTGGAACCAGCTGTGCCAAAAATTGTTCAAGAAGATCGTCTCCTTCATGCAGCGCCAGGCACAGTCAATGACCCGAGTGCCAGCTTTGGCATTAAATAATTTGTTTGCCCGTTGCTCGATGGGTGCCAGACAGACGTATTTTGGAAGCTGCCACTGCCAATTGCCCTTGAGATTGATATGCCATGCGCTTACAGTGGACCACGTGGTTGCGCAAAACACCAAGAACTCGGGCGACCCGGGCATGATCCTAATTCCGCCTGGCCCGGAGCTCGATGAGCAGCCAAGGCAGGCTTCAGACGTTGTAGAACGAGAGTGTATGCCTGTGCGCTTGACCAAACCACGACTGCTCCCATACAGACACGTGGACGTGTTTGTTGGAGCATTTGTTGCCAAATCCTGTCGAATGCTGTTTCATCAGCCTCCACATCGCTCCATTGCTTCCCAGTCCCGAAGTCAGTGCTCACAGAAACGGTTCCCTCACTCCTCAAGGGCCTTACTTGAAGCCTTTTACTTCACTGTAGCGCTTGCAAACGTTTGCCCTGAGGCGTCCGCATCCTCTGCTTATGCCTTGACTCAATTGCCTTTGTCTCCACGTTATTCTTTTTAGAACTTTTTTGTGGTAATTTACACATATAACAATATACATATCACTACAGGAGAGGGGTATTCATTGAAGTCTAGCATTGTAGTATTTGCGCTCCGACTTTTTCCCGCTTTTGCTCCCGCGTCTCAAGTTGTAGGTCTTTCCAACTGCATTACTGGAGCCCTTCAATTTCCTGGTTCTCTGTCACTGCTGGTCTGGCTTTGGCGGGCACTGCAGGTTTCTTGGCACGGAGGCCCTCAGCTGTCAAGCCTAACTGGTGTTGCTCACGCAGCAACATGTTGCAGGAACCAGATCCGCGAGCAGGACCCCACTTGGTTTACTTTCGCAGCGCTTGCGCATCTTGGCGTCGTTGGAGGCAGACAAACTGAGCTGAGTGTTGCTCCAAAGACAGCCCAGGTATTTATTTGCAACAGTCTTCGGAGCAATTCTTGGTGACTTGGCTGTTCCACATCTTAGTATTAGAGTCTTAGAGGATCTCCATTCTTCTGGGGTTGCTGAGGAGATATGAACTACTGGTACAATATGCAGCCCTTTTATGTCACTCGACCGGCAGCTGATGCCTGTGACAGCGCACGGACGCCGACGACCCAGCACTGAGGACATTGAAAATATCAATTCCTACCCAGATGTGAATCCCGCTCGGGAAAGAGGACAGAGCAAACTTGAGGGTTTTCAAGTTTATTCACGTATGTTCATATTCCTCCACTCTCTCTCTCTCTGTTTGTCCCTGCCTTGCTCCCTTTCCCTCTCCCTTCCCTCTCCCTCTCCCTCTCTTTTCCACTCCCTTTCCCTTTCCCTCTCCCTTGGCCACCTCCCTCGCGTGCTTTCTGCACACCAACAAATGCACATGGGAAATGTGGGCGAGGTGGTGTTTCGCGTCTTTGCTGACGTGCTCCTTTCTGACATGCACCCAGACGTGCATGCTGATTAGCTTGAGGGCAGCAGCTCATGGATGCCGGAAGAGTGTACTTTGAAGATGGGACGGGCTTGGACATCAGCAAGTCCATGTCATTCAAGAATTTGGACAGGCAGGGAGTTTGCTTAAGCTTGCCCAAGTTCCACGGCTTCATTCACCATGAAGAATTCTGAACAGGTACTGTGTTGCTCCAATTGTCCATGGTCAGTCGCCTTTAGACTCCTATGATTTCTGGGCAGTGGGCTTAAACTGCTGCGGCCCCTTGGATGTGCAATTTGTGTCTTTGTTTGCAGAATGGTCACAGTCACATGCTTCCAGAAAGCAACGCGCTGTCTGCAAGGATCCTCCACTGGCGCTTTCCAATGTGGCGAGTACAACAACCCCAAAGCACATGCCGGCTTGCGGTTGATGCAGGAGGAGCAGAGGTTGATGACTCAGAAGGTGAGATGGTCTAAAGGCTCCATGCTAGCACGCTGGTACACAAGACCACGCTCTACAATTGTAAGGGTCCATGTGTCCACTCCATGGGAGCTGCGGAGAGAGAACATTCGAGGCCTTTCTTTCGACTAGCAGTGCAGCAGGCAGAGGCCGCCTACAACATCAAAGCAACTTAACAAGCATCACATCAGTGCGATAGATTAATCAGTCTTGTTTGGATGTCACCATTATTTACTCTACTGTAAAGCATGTTTTGCCTCGGCACGACCATTGGCCCGAGGCAAATCACCCACTGTTCTTCTACTGGATGCAGGATGGGATTCTTATTTGTCGAGGTTCTGAAGTGAAGCCCCAGGCTCATGTCAACCACGCAAAATCAGTTGAGCAAGTTATTGGAGGTTTGGCGTTAAGACCAGAAATCATATGGACAATGTTTGCCTTGTGGTCCGGAGGATCCTGTGGCTGAAATCTTGCACTACAAAACCTCGGGCTGCCTAGCAGCCATGACCGTCACATTCTGTGTCAAACATCATGGTGAGACCGTCCTGGTGCCAACTCCCATCCCAGGCTTTGCTTGGGCGCTGATTGCAATTGCTACCCACTTCGCATTCAACCTGCTGTGTGTCGCAGGTGGAGTTTTGTGCACTCATTGAGTGGCTTGTTGTCATGTTGACCTGGGATGAGATTGTACACGCACACACACACACATATATATATATATACACAGATAAACACAATAATAACAAACATTTAGTAGATATACTATATATAAAATACTATATGTATACGCACACACACACACACCGCCTTCTCGCAGGTGCCGCGCTTGCTTTCTCAAAGTTGGCCCAGGATGTCTGAACATGATGCATATTCCGACGGTTTGTGCCTTCCTTGCGTGGCATGCTCCTGGAGATGCAATATCACTCCTGGCAATCCTTCGACTCCACCCACCGTGCTTGGTGTGAAAAGGGGCAGGGGATGCTGTGGAATTTCAACTTTTGATGGGAGGCCATCGCTAGTAGGTTCCTGAACGTCTTTGACTGTTTTTGGGTGTGTTTGAGCAGGTGGAATTGCTGGATGAGAAGCTTCCAGCTGGCCCTGCTGGCCCTTCTGCCTTCTTGGCGTGGCTCCCTGTGCTAGGCGGCACAGTTGTTCCGTCGTCCATGTTCCCTAGGTTTGCCAAAACCTCACTTAGACTTGCAGTAGGCGCAGTCATGAATTTGATTTATATATATATATATATATACTGTACCTCATTGTGCAGGGACAAGAGTTTTTGGCAAGCGTGGCAGGAACGTCCGCTGAGCAGTCTGATGCATATACCCGGGCCCTGCTGCCCTCGAGCATTTGGATTTGGATGCTGCTGCCAGAGTGCAGGCAGTGCAATTATATACAGTAAATGGATTTCTCCCAAGGACACCTTCATTGTTGAGAGGGAAGCCTACTCCTGCAGCATGATATGTCCAATCGCTTGGCCACGCCTGGTAGCTTCTGACTGCGTCACCCAAGTGAACCATGATGAGACCACGGCCCAATAGTTCAAGTTGCAGCATCCTGGGCACTGGGATGGTCACAATGGAGACTAATGGACACGTACCATGCGGTGACTCAGAAGTGCAAAGCACCAGCCCGAGCTTTGCGGAGCCAAAACGGTCCACGCATATTCCGTCAACACGCTTCATGGGTTTCGATGAACTTGAGAAATTCGGACAGAACTTTTATGAACCTTCGTTTGTTCGGCTGTTTTTGTTGTCTCGTAGGCCTTTTTGGCTTCCTAGCCTTGCACTGTGCCCTTTGGTTCGCCTATGGAAATGAAACCAAGGTCTCCTCTAACTTTGCAAGTCAACCATTATCCCCGTAGCCCAGTATCGTGGAGCGCTCATCAACTGACTCCGCTGCACGCGATGGCGCACCTGGCCTGCTAGCTCAGTTGCCGTTTTCGGTTGACCCAGACACGTGCACAGATTGGCTCAGCGTGCCCGGCCGAGGCGGCGCTGGCAGATCAAGTTATTGCCGGCAGTGCGGCTGGAATCTTTGCAGAGACTTGTTGGCAAAGATAATGCAGATGCAACATGCAACAGTGCATGTGCCTTTGGGTCGCGTGAGACCACTTTGCGCTAACTTATACGTCGAGCTAGGAGTGGATCTATACAATTTCATAAAATACATTCCTGCATGGTTAGCATCCGATTGAATAGAAGGGATCAAGTACTTGTCATCTCTGACGCTTGCGTAGCTGTTGGGAACCAAGGACGTCGTTACTCATCCAATATCGACGATCAAAACTCGGCTCCAGGTGCAGGCCAGGTGAGGGCCTGGAGGGCGAGGGCTGGGAGAGGAACTCTGCAGGATTGCGAGATCTCCAAATACACACGTGGACACTTGCTAAGTGTGTGCTTCGCATGGGAACATTTTAACGTTTCCACCCGAAGCTAGTCTGAAGACGCGATACTTTGCTATCCTTCTCTATATCTCAGAACAAGTTGGTCGCATCACCTTAAAATCCTTAAGCAGGGCCAAGGCAGATCAGGGGTGCTTAGGCAGTTGAATCAGACATGTACAATAGTCCGTTTGAGCAACCAGCATCAACAGTGTAAGGCCCTAGTGTAAGGCTACAGAAGAAGGAGTGGCTATCTAACTCTGCAGATTGCTGCAAGCCGCCACCTCTTACCAATACCCGAAACCAATCAAGGCCAAGCCAATTACTGCAACTTAGCTGTGGGCCGCAGTCCACCTCACATGTGAGTTGTCACACCAGGGCAGCGGCGGTGGATCGCATGGAGCCATGGTCTACAGGGGGGGTGGTGTGCCTAGCTTGACACGTGCATCAATGAGTTGGTTGAAAAGAACGCTGCGGAGAGTTACACGGTGAATCATGACACACTCAAGTGTTTGTCAAAAAACTAACGGATGGAGCTTTTAAACGCAAAGAAGGCCATGACATGAAGGGACGGGTTCCAACGTCCAAGATCGTCCAATTTTAGATGGGTAGACAAACATATACAGTAACTGGAAGTGCACATGTTGGCGCTTCAGGTGGCTCACGCCTTGAGGCACATTTTGAGCAATGTTTGGCACTTGGTTCCGCGGAAGAGCTGAGTGTATATCAGTGCTGGTCCTGAGTTGTACGATGGGGATCCTGGCATTTCATCGTTCTCCAGCTCTGAGTGCCCGCCCCATGTGCTTCATCTATGTGACTGAGGAAGGCCCCGTCACCCTTTACAGAGGCCTTGGTGCGGTCCTCGTAGGCGCAGCACCCGCTCAGGCCCACATGTCGAGCCAGCAATGGTTGTGAACTAGCCATATATTTGTCCCTAGTTTAGAGTTGTGCAGCGGACTAGTTGTTTGCTTGCACATCTCACTCTCATGTTTCAGGTGCTCAATCAAACTTTATTCGAACGACATCCCAATCGCCCAAGTCTTCGAGAATCGTTGCCTTTTGAGCCTGTGTTTGTTCTTTCCAGGGCCTTTACTTTGGTGGCTACGAGACCGCGAAACGCTTCCTAGGTGGAGGCACTACCTTCCTGGGGCCCCGTAAGGTTTAAGCAGAGTCAAGCGCACGTTCCAGGACAAAGCGGCATTGGCAACTTCTCCGCGGGCATCTTTGCTCGGACCAAAGAACAATGAACGTAACCTAAAGTTCTTGGTTCCAGAACTAGAATCAACCTTGCACTTCCCAAGAGTTTGGGTCACAGAGCTCAGGCTCAGCTTTGCGGTTCTCTAGCCTGGGTCCCCATGGCACGCGCCTCAGGGAGGGCAAAGTTTCTGGATGCCCTCCCCCCAAAAAGGGGTTCTCAAGACCCCAGATGTTCGCCAAGGATGTGATCAAAGAGCGCTTGCAAGTTGAGGGCCAGGTGAAGGTGGGACAAGAATAATTGCTTTCGAGCAGGTGTGTCAAGAAGGACCCCATGTTGCTAGTAGTGGGCACTTTGCACGTCGCGGCTCAGGTGGCCAACGCATACACAGGCTCCTTTGATGCCTTTAGGCAGATCATTCGACATGAGCCTTGGCGCCAAAAATCACAACATAAGGTTCTTCAAGCTTTGATGTTATTTGAGGCCTTCTGAACAAGTGCTTTGTGTTTTTGCTAGGAGGGTGTGATTGGACTGTGCTACACTCAGTTGCGTCCCAACACTGTCAGCTGCATAATGTGGCACACTCCCCGAGATGTCATTGAACAATTTGCCGACGACGACCTACCACAACTGTTGCTTCACACATCTTCAAAAGTATGCCTGAGGCATTTGGTTTAGATGGATGTGTAGTATACAGTACTGTAATGTACTGTAGATGATCTATATAAATATGTATAGATACATAATTGTAACATAGCATATATCATAGACAATTTTTTTTTAAAGCAGGTTTTCTGAAGTTGCACCAGCCGTTTCTTACCTTCACTTTGAGCATTGGGTTCCAGTTGCCTCCGTGATTGATGTCTCTGGAGGTATCGAGCGTTTCCAATTCACCAAGTGACTTGGGCTCCCTTTAATGGCTGTGCCCCGACTGCAAGCAGCGAAACAGAAGGTTGTGTTGCACGAACATGAGCATTCTTTTCTAAACCATTTGCGCTGGCGGAGATGCTTGTGACACTTTGTGTCAGTGATTGGTTGTTATTGTATATTGTTTTTTTGTAAGGCGCCAGCAATTGTGGGGCTCCCATTCAGGTTTATGATCAGAATGTTCAAACATGTTGCGGTGCATTTGAACAGATTCGGACGCCTTAGTGGGACATGAATTTCTTGGGGATGCTCGCAGGGTGTGCAGACGGAAGAAACGGTGTTTCGGAGATTTGCAGGTGAAACTTGGGAAATTCTTGCGCCGACCCAAAATCCATACCCTTGAGCTGGGAGCCGACCCTGACTGGAGCTAGAACTCAATCAACGCTGAGCAATCAAGTGCGCAACGTCCAGGTTATTTCATGGTCTACGAGAAGCTGAAAGGGCTATGCATCAATGCAGGGCCTCTTGTTGGAAATGCTTGGACTCAGTTAAGTGAAAGCTGAATATTGAATAGTATGAATCAACCCATCCATAGGTGCTCATCATGAACGAGAGATAGAAAAACTCTCACAAAAGGGTCTCGCAGAAGCTCTCACAAAAGGGTCTCGCAACAGCAAGGTCTGACCTTCTCCGAGGCCCTTCTGCGAGACCTTCTGTAAGACCTTCTGTGAGACCCTTTTCTGCGAGACCCTTCTGTGAGACTTTCTGCGAGACCCTTCTGCGAGACCCTTTTGTAAGACACTTTTCGTTTGGGAGCGAGACCCTGCTGCGGCACATTCTGTGAAACCCTTCTGTGAGAGCTTCTGCAAAGCCCTTCTCCGATATTCAATATTGTTTGCGGTTGGTCCCGATCAACAGGTACGAAGATGGGCATGACAACTTGGAACCCATCGCCCAAGTGTCCTGTGGCATAGCTGCTGGAGTTGTGGCAGCTGCTTAGCTGCAGATGTGCAGCTTTTGTCACTGTCTTTTCCAGATGGTTGGTACAAAGTTGACTTGAGATGTGCAGCCGCAGTGCTTTACATGGTTTGATGTACTGAGCCAGAAGTTGGTTGAGCTCATCTCAGGCGTCCGTAACAAACCCCGTGGACGTTTTGAAGACTCGACTTCAGGTTGCGCGAGCCAATCCTGCACGCTGGGCACGGTTTGAAGATGAAAGGGAGAACAAGACAGTGGGCCGTATGAAAACTTCTGAAGAGGTGCACGGTGCAAGTGTCGAGTCCTTGATAAGCCAGGAGATGTTCCCTTACAGCAGTGCTTTGGGTGCCTTGGCCACGGTGGTTGCAACACTGGAGTCACTGGATGCACCGGCGTTTAAGTGGGTGTGCTTTTGTCAGAGACACACGGCCTAGGTGCTGCTCGCCATCTCCTCGAACATGAGGGCCGCTTTGGCAAACTGCAACAGCTTATTTGTTGTGAGGTCAGCAACTGCTGGAGGAAGTTTTGATCCCCTTGAGAGCTAAAGACACCATTTGCATGCCTTTCAAGCTCTGAAAAGTGGAAAGCGAGCGTGATGAACATTTTTACTTTGGGACCTTTCAGGGGAGATGCTTGTTTATTTGCCTTTGCACTTGACCATACGAGGTGCGATTGCCCTGATGGACGGCGTTTTCGCGAGGGTCATGTGGCTTACTCCTAGGCAGTGAGAGACATGCAACACTGCCACATTCAAAGCTTCGAAGAATTGAGCAAACACAAAGCTTGCTTGCACAAGTAGTTTCCACTCGGGGGTTTGCTTGGGATGGACGCTGTGTCAAATTTCACATCAATTCAACTTAGCCCTCGCAACAGATTGTCCGCGAGGCTCACTCTTTGCGTTTTTGCGTACGAGAGAATCAAAAAGAACTTGTCAGCTACTGAGATCCATCAACAGCCATGAAGGGTCTTCAAGGTTTACATGTTGTGCTTGAGGTCCTGACATGCTGACATCCTGACCATTTTCCGGAAGTGCTTGCGCTGCAGTTGGCAGCCAGGACCCTCAGAAGGGCAGAGAATGCGACAGTACGAGGTGGCAAGTGCAGCATCAATAACAAGCGTGCCTGGACTGCTCTTCTGAGTCCCTCATGTGTGCACCATGCCCACACGAGGTCGGGACTTTCCAGGGAAGGCTGTGCTTTTGCCTAATTATGCGCTGCAGAGTGATGCATGCAGCCCCATGCTACCTGATTGGGGCCACAAAGCAGCGAAAGCCAAAAGGCCTTGGTGCCAACATCATTGCGGCATGGCATTCAGCACTTGACATATTGAATCCCGCATTGATGTTGTCCCGTGCAGTATAGTGGCTCAAACAGGTGCTGAAGCAGCAAGTGCTCTCAATTGGATCAATACACAATGAGCACTCAAGTCGTTAGGCGCCGCCGTCGATCTGTCCTTGTGGTGCTGGTATTGGCTCTGGCCCTAGCGCTGGTGCCACACCCACGAGATGCCAATGAACCTTCCTCTCACAGGCACTTCATGGCAGTCGCACAAGAGCCTCTTGGAGTCGCGGAAGTTGAGGATGCTTGCATTTCCTTGACCTTGCTCGGGTGTGTGGGTTTTGTCATGGCAACTTTCTATCTTGTGAATTGGCCTGATCCTGATATCCGTCGAATCTCCTTGGAAGTCATCAATGCAACCATCAGCATGTTTGGTGCACTACTTCTTTTCCACAGCTTGGAAGAACTCCTCGAGCACTACCTTCTTCATCATCTCACAGCATGGCAGCAGGTGGCTGTGGCAATGTTGCAGATGCTCGTGTGGTTCACTGTGTTGCAGATGATCTTGGCCTACTACTCTGGTGCAATTGGGGAACAAGAGGAAGTTGTCAAGCGAAATACATCTCAAACTTTGGCTGACCGCTGTGGGAGTCCTAGAAGCAAGGCACTCCTTCAAAGGTCTGCGGAAGAACATTTCCGTGCAATCAAGCTCAACACACATGCCTGGAGCATTTTGCTTGGCCATGCTACCGGCTTTGCAGCCAAGAATGCGTGCAGCATGCTCCAGCAAACCGTGCCGCGAAATTTCTGGTGTTGTGGCCTTGTTCCAATCATCTCTTTCTTTGGCATTTGCCTCATCTACCGTGCTACCAACTTTTTCCGCTACATAAAGACTATGGCAGATGGAGAGGAGGACGAGTTTGAGATGCTCTGGGGCGAGTATACCACAGAGACCGAAGACGAAGTGATTTCCCTGGCCATTTCCTTCCTCGTGGTGCAGATGTTGCGCTATGGCATTTCTGGTGAACTTCCGCTTGCATCTGGCGAGGATGCTGAAGGGCAAGTGTGGCATTCAAATTGGTCTTGCGCATTGCTGGTCCTAATTGGACTGATGCCCGGTGCAGTGGATGTGGTGAGGGTGATGTGTCAAAGAATCGCTCAAAAGTGGCGGCGCTACCGTCGGATTGCGAGTGGCCTCAGTGCGGAAAGCCCGACCCATTATGAGCAAAGAAGTCACCATTGGTGTGAAGGAATCTCGACCATGAGCTTTGCTTGGTGCCTTCACTTTGCGATCGATTGGTTTGTTGCTTCTCACCTTCACCTCCTCGACGGGACGGTCAAAGCAGTCATCTCTGCCTTGGCGGCGACCACGCTTGCCTTTCTGTTGATCTTTGTGTTGGACAAAGTGGCTCGTCTCAATTCGACAGCGGCTGGACAAGAAGCCCGGCTGCGTCTTTTTGGTGGGGGTGGACCTGCGAGATGAGCAGGGTTTGCATTTCGATGACTCGACCATGCATGCAACGTAGCAACAACTCAAAAACAAATGCACACCATAATTTGTTTTATTGTACCGCAATCTATTGGACAGTGACATACAAGCCTCAAAGTATTGCATGCATGCCAGAACCTAAAAACGAAGCAAAGCGTCCCAAGGGAAGGCTCGAGAACACGGACGCTCCAAGCAATTGCGTTCTGTGTGGAAATCAGGTGGCAGACATGCACCTTGAAGATGTTGAGGTGGACCAAGCTCTTCGGGGCATGATCACTGGTTTGGGGATGCTGGTCGGCTTCTCCTGGGAACGCTGCTTCGATGCTTCTGTGGGTGGATTGGCACGATATGAGGTTCTCTTCGGCATGTCCCCTCCTGTGAACCGCGTGCTATTGGCCTCTTTCCTGGCACTCATGGTCCTCCCTGCATGGAAGTGGTACATTTTGCCGATGCTCCACCAGCTTGACCACAGCAACCACGTCACAAACCCCATTGCGGAACCCGTGCCTGCTCTTGGAGATGAGACCCGGCTTTTTGGAAGAGTTGGGCCATCACAGATGATGCAGGTAGGGAAGAGTGAGAGCCCCAAGTGGGTGGATTGAGAGCCGCATAGGACTAGGAAAGTCGATCTGGCCAGCGTGGCTCTGCAAGAGTTCGCTGGCCTGCTCCAATCCATACCTGAATTTGGTGCAAGGGCAACAAGCAGGACATGTTAAGAGACATGAATCGCTGGACTTGTTGCCATTCCATTTCCAATTTTCATTTTCCATTATATATTTTCCATGGATTCTACAAGCGACAATGTGGCCCGACTACTGTAATTGCTGTACAAGGCGCAATGTGGCCTGAATCGGAGCTTGCAAGAGCAAGCAGTCATGGGGCTTAGAATGTTGAGCGGTGGCATTTCCATGAAAAGTCTAAGACGTTCTTTTGGCTTGAACTTTCCTCTTTGGGGAGCCAGGTTACCTGCAGCTGGCCTCAATTGAAGTGGCCTTTCACTTCCCACTTGCATTCACTGTATGTCACACCACATTGGATATTTGTCTTTGCTTCTTTCTTTGACCTTCCGACAGCTTGTCGGCCCAAGAGGTCACAGAAAAGTGTATAGATTGGGTCACAGAAAGCTACATCATGAGGCTAGCACAGTCTTTGGCGCTACCACAGTCTTTGGTGCAAAGAACAACATTGATTTTGCTTTTAGCTTGCTTGCCCTGGTGTTCAACTACAGCTGATGTGAGTGATTGCTGAAATGCTTTTGGATTCTGGAATTGGAAGCAAAGAAGGAATGAGGTAGGTAGCAGTGACCAACGACATTTCCTTGTGCACAAGAGACGGTCAAAGTTAGAGCAACGGAGTTTGTGGCCATCCTTGAACTTAATGTAGGGCCGTCCCCAAGAGGAGGGGAGTAGCCCTATAGCCGGATGAATGCACGCAGCTATTTCTCATCTGCTCGTGCTGCTGCAACCTGCTCGCACGTATGAGTAGAGCTCGCATCAGGTTTGGTTTGCTGTACCTTTGGTAGCGGCTTTGAAGCTCCTTTTGGACATTGCTTGTGTGCCAAGTTTTGCTTTGCACCTACCTTGTGTCGATATCCATTCAACAGTTCGCTCCACCTGCCGTACCTCCGAGGCTCTCCACCTGCTTAACTGGGAAGGCAATCATGACAGTTTGTGACTTATACCAGGACATGGGTGCAAGTTTTAGAGTGCCACAAGTAACCTACCATATCCTACCTCAACGTATTCGGTTTTGTTTTCTCCAAATATACAGTAATATACACTGACACTTGGCTTGCTTGATCTTGCTTGATGAGTTTTCCGTTTGGCACTCCGCAAGGCCGACCTCACTGGCGCTTGGCTAGAAGGCAGTGAAAAATGTAAGTATATATAGTAGGGGGATTTGTTGCTATCCCAACACCGCTTTATATAGATCGGAGACAGAGCTGTAGAAAATTAAGCTATACACTGCATAGAGATTTGCTCATGAGAGTTTTCAGTGATGACAGGTGGGCTGCCAAAGGTTAATTGCCGATGGACTACAATCCTCCAGCAAGGCTGTACAGGCTTGTTGGGTGACGTACTAGTATGTACTAGTAGCAGGATGAAATAGGTCCCTCATTGTTGACTACAGTTTGCATATACTGCACGTTTGCCTGTATGTTTAGTTTCTTATGTTTTGTTAGAGACGGCAAGCTTGATCGCATTTTGGGCTGAGCACTTGACTCTTGCAGGTGATGCAGGACGAGCTCAACATGCACAGATCTCAATGCTAGAATCTAGAATATGATTGCTTTGCTTGCTCAATTCTTGCAACTCCAGCCCTGGGATGCTGGCCGTCCTGCAGAAACCCTGCTTTGGATTCCACAACGGATGCACCCCATTCCACTTCCAGGGGTCTCACCACTCACCAAACTTCATAGAAACCAACTCCTGACTCACTTAGCTACTAGATGCTACTAGTAGCTAGAAGCTACTAGGTGGAGGCCATCGCTATTATATAGGTTGAAGGCCATCGCTACTAGTTACTAGTAACAAGAAGCTACTCAGTTGCCGTCCTCACTGTGCCCTTCGCTGCGACGTCTCAAGCGGCTGGCTTGGCGGCTTCGTGGCAGCAACTGGTGAAGACGAAAGGTAAAGGCGGAGTGTCCTGAACGACTCTGGCATCTTTC